GACATCCAAGGTTCTGGACTCAAGTGAATGTGGGGGCTTCATCATGATCATGTCCCAGGAGAGAAGCAGGGGTTTTTATGGGGGGGGGTAGAGAATGCTTCACTTTTGGATGGGGTGATTGAAAACATTCATTCATTCATTCATTCATTCACTCATTTATTCAACCAAAATTGAATGGAGCCCCTACCCCCCGCCAAGACCTTGGCTAGGTTCTGAGATACAGTGTCAACCAAGATAGAACTCTCAGCCTTTGTGGAGTGGGAAAGGCAGACAGGAGGAGAGTAAATTGCTAAATAAGCCAGACCACCCTGGACTGCCTTATGGGATGTTGAAAGAGAGAGAACAGAATGAGGAGGCAGAGTGGGGTGTCACCTGCTTGACCTCAGACACAGTCAGCAAAGCTTCAGTGATGAAATACTGTCCGAGCGGAGACCTGAGTGGGTCCATCCTGCAGTCCATCCTGCTGAGGGGCTAAAGGCAATACTGCAGAGAGAGGGAAAAGCAAACAGAGGCCCTGGAGGATGGGAGAGGTTGGGGGGCAGCACTGTGCTCGATGGGTTTCTGGGCTTTATTCTAAGTGCAGTGCGGAGGGTTTTAAGTCTGGGCATGACATGATTCCGTGCGTTTAAAAAAAAATACATCGCTGCAGTATCGCCATAAAGAGAAAGTACTGGAGGAGGCAGAGAGTGGGGGTGGGAGGCTGTCCCTGTAAGCAGGGGGTGGACCGTGGTTTGCATAGTGGTTGCCAGGGGCAGGTTGGGGGGGATGTGTGAGGTGGTCACCAGCTCTGGCTGAAGCTGGTGCTGTCCTGAGGAGGTGTGACCTCAGGCCAATCACATGATCTCTCCCAGCTTCAGTTATCTCAACCATAAAAGGGATCTTCATGACCCCTACCTCGCAGGTCTGCTCTGAGGATGCAATACACTAAGCAATGCGGCTCTCATGGATGCAGGTAGTTATATGGTTCTGAAACTCAAGAAAGGGATCTGGGGAGACTCATTGGGTAGTTGTGTGGACCAGAATCTGTGTTGCCCTGGGGGACACTTGGAATATCAATGCTGTCTCAGCAACAGAATGTGAGCCAAACTAAAAAAAAAAAAAAACAAAAAAACCCAGGTGACATCAATTTTAATAAGATGCCTTACTTAACCCAGTATAGCCAAAGCATTACCATTTCAAAATGTAATCAATATAAAAGTCATTCATGAAAGAGTCGTTACTCTTTTCCTGTAAAACTAAGTCTTCAGAATCTGTGGGGCGTCTTGCATATCTCAGTTCAGACCAGACACATGTCAAGAACCCAGGAGCCACATGTGGCTGTTTTGGGCAGCACAATTCTAGAGGATCTTTAATTTTAGATCAATTCCACAGATGTTATGGAGGTTTCTGGAAGGTTTTCGGAAGAATGCTTTCTCAGCTCCAGCTTATTGCCACATCTAGAAATTGTTTTCCAACTGTGTATGGGATTTTGAATTTGTGTATTGTCTGGCTTCTTAAATATTGCCCAGTAAAACAATGAAACGTAGCATACGGTCCCAACCAGATACAACTCTGAGTCCTTTCTGGCCTGCGGCCTCCAGGTTGAGGGTGGTGGGAGCTGTCCCAAACCACAGGCATTTAGATTTACCTTAAGAGAAATGCATTTAAAATTCAGGTCCTCAGGCCGCAGTAGCCACACTGGGCTGGTCACCGCAGACAGTTCTTTCTGGTAGCTCACTGGGATGCAGCTCTGGCCGCCCCCCACCTCCCCCGGGGCCTGGGGCTGCGCGCCACAATAACGCCCTTTCTCTCCCTCCGCTCTGCGCTCCCGCCGCCCCCACCCCCCCCCACCTCCCCCCACCCCCAAGCTGCTGCCGCCCCCTCTCCGGCCGGTCCTGTGCGGCGCGCTCCCCGCCACGCCATTCCCTGCTCTTTGACTGCTCCGGGCGTGGCTGCGAGAGGCGCAGCGGGCGCCCCAAGTGCGTGTCCCCCGGTAGCTGCCGCGCCGCTGCGAGTCGCATCTGCAGCCCGGCCTTCAAGCGCTCCAGCCACCTGGCGCGGCCCCGCACGAAGCTCCAGGCGCAGCCTGTGGGTGGACCCACTTGCACCGAGCACTGCCTTGGTTTCCCGCTGTGCACCGCGCTCTGTGCCGGGCACCATCAAGACGCGGCCGCCGCGCCTCGTCTGGCCTCAACTTCCCATCAGCCCGACGCGAAGACCCACCCTTCCCCACCTCCGCATCCAGCAATGTCTGGCCTTCTGTGGGCCTCGGTCTCCCCGCCCGTCCAGTGGGGAACGCCACAGCGCCCCATCTCTGTGACGGGTGACGCCTGGCCTTCTGTGGGCCTTGGTTTCCCCGTGTGCCCGACCGACAGAACCATCCCTGCTCCCGCCTTCTGCACTGCCGAGCGGGGGAGGAGGCGGGCCGGTCCAGCCTCAACTGGACAAACCTAGGTGCGCCCCTTCCTTGAGGAGCATCCGGCAAACAGACCGCCTAGCCCGTTTATTAATGGATGTGTGTCGCGGCGCCCGAACAGCTCCTGTCGGGAGTGGAGGGGAGCGGGAGCGGGGGCAGGGCTTTCACCGTGCAGCCGGCGCCCGCGCCCTCCGCCCGCACCACCGGGGCTCAATGGAAGCGGACCGTGGGAGCGGCGCGCTCCGGGACAGCGGAACCTTCGTTGCGGCGTGAGCGTTTCCGGACGGTGCCCTTTTCCAGAGACGCCGCCGCCCCTCGCGCCCCCGCGCCCGCGCCCCCCGCGCCCGCGTCCCCGGCGCCGCCGGCCCGGAGCTCCCGGAAGCCTCGGTCCCGCCGCCGCCGGCACTCGCGAGGGGAAGCCCGGGCCGCCCGGGACCTCGGCCCGCTCCTCCGGTCCCGAGAGGCCGCCGCATCGGGTACGGGGGCCGGGACGGAGGGAGGAGCCTGGCTCCGGGACGGCGCGAGGCCGGGCCGGGCTGGGGGAGGGGCGGGCGCCGCGGGGGTGGGGTGGGGTGGGGGTGGGGCCCGGCACGGTGGGAGCCGGGCGGGGGGCGGGCCGGAGGGAGAGAGGGGCCCTGAGGGTGCAGCGGGAAGGGGGACGGGGGGACCCCGGGCACTGGGGTTACAGAAGGAGGCGGCACACTGGAGCTGGCTGGAGGGATGGAGAAACAGAGGTGCCAGATGCACACAGAGGGGAGGGGAGGGGGCTCCGGGGGCCCCGGTGCGGCTAACGGGGAGCGGGACGAGGCCCCTGAGGGGCACAGACAGAAGAGAAAAGGATGTCGGGGACTTGAGTCTAGGGGCGGGGGAACAGGGGCACCCCTGGGGGGCATTTAGGTGGTAGCAGGGCCCCGGGTGTAGGGTGCGTAGAAGCAGGCAGCTGAGGCGTGCTAGGGCTGTCTGCATGAAATCCAGACAATGGGTCTGCTAGGCGAGGGGGGAGGGTGAGACTTGGAGGTGTTGAGTGCAGGGTCGGAATAGAGGAGCCCAGAAGGAAAACTGGCGTTCTGAGGTGTACCCAGAAGGGAATCCGAGCGAGGCCACGATGTGTGCAGAGATGGGGAGGCCTCCCAGGGAACGAGGCTGCTGTGCTGGCCCCGGGGGAGACGGTGCCGCCGGAGCTGGGCCTAGGAAGACGAGGAAGCGAGCGACCTGTTAGGAACAAGCTGTAGAGGGAGGAAACAGACTTGCCGATTGGCAGGCAGTGGGGGAGCTGCGGGATAGGAAAGGGGCAGGATAGGGACCTTCCGCCTGGCCTGGGGTCTGAGAGGGAGCCGCGGGAGGAAAGGCAGGCAGGGGGTGTCCCGGGAGCGGCGCCGCCTGGCCCAGAGGCGGTTTCGTTTTTGCAGGAGAGGTGGGTCAGTGGTACAGAGAGCCTAACGAGCAGTGGTAATGGGGACACTCTCCCCCAGGAAGTCGCGATTTTAATTTCTCCCCCCTCCACTGCTCGCAGCTGACACCCCAGATGCTGCTGCTGCCGCCTCGGCCACCCCACCCTCGGTCCTCCTCCCCAGAGGCCATGGACCCACCGCCCCCCAAGGCTCCCCCTTTCCCCAAGACGGAAGGCCCTTCCTCCACTCCATCCTCGGCGGCAGGCCCCCGGCCCCCGCGGCTGGGCCGCCACCTGCTCATCGACGCCAACGGGGTGCCCTACACATACACGGTGCAGCTGGAGGAGGAGCCCCGGGGCCCGCCCCAGCGCGAGGCAGCGCCGGGAGAACCCGGGCCGCGCAAGGGCTACAGCTGCCCGGAGTGCGCTCGCGTCTTTGCCAGCCCTCTGCGGCTGCAGAGCCACCGCGTGTCGCACTCGGACCTCAAGCCCTTCACGTGCGGCGCCTGCGGCAAGGCCTTCAAGCGCTCCAGCCACCTGTCGCGGCACCGCGCCACGCACCGCGCGCGCGCAGGCCCGCCGCACACCTGCCCGCTCTGCCCACGTCGCTTCCAGGACGCCGCGGAGCTGGCGCAACACGTGCGCCTGCACTGAGTTCCAGACCCTCGGGGCCTCGCGAGCCACACAGCGTCACTCCCACACGCGCTCCCTGCCTTACCCGGGGCCTCCGTTTCTCCATCCGCCCAAAGGGAGAAACACCAGCCCTTCCTTACCTTCCTTCTAGCTGTGTGATGTAGACCAAGCCGTTGCCCCTCCCTGGGCCTGGGAGCCAGTCTCGGAGCTGGGTTCCGGCCCGGCTGTGCTGCGCGAGCCTTTGCAGGAGACAACGTCTCTGGGCCTTGGTCTTCGGCTCCGAAGTGGTGAACGGTTGTGTGCGCGGAAGATTTGACAAAAGAGCACGGCGCGGTCTGGCTCATTTCTGTTATCTCCCCCTTTCCACCCACAGCCCTCACCCCTTACTCAATAAACATTCCGCACTCCACTTTAGGGCTTTGATTTGCGTGTGTGCGTGTGTGTGTGTGTGTGTGTTGGGGGGCGGGCAGCGGGTTGGGAGGGGGCAGCCAGGACCGTGAGCACCTGGGAACCTTCTTCTCGGCGTGTGTTTCTGGCCGGATCCGTTTCCCGAAGGCCCAGGCGCCCCGCCCCCACCTTCCTCCCCGGACCCTCTTCTCCGCGCCCCGGTCCGCTCTCTTGTTACCGGTGCCACCGGCTCCCGGGGGACACCCAGAGGCGCTCGTCCCGCCACCACCCGCGACCACGGGGGTAGCCCGGGGCCGTTCCGGAGTCGCCCGGACCCGAGAGGCTGCTGCACCGGGTACGGGGGCCGGGAGGCGGGAGCGAGCGGGGAGCGGGCCGCGAGAAGGGGCGGGGCCGGGAGCGGGTACCTGTGCGCTGGGCGGGGAGGGGCCGCTATGGGGGCCCAGGAGGGCACCGCCCAGAACTCGCGGGGCCGGCGCCCTCGAGAGCGCTAGGACCCAGAAAAAACTTGGGGAGGGTGAACTGGATGGGCGTGGACGAGAGAGAACCTAGAGGTAGCCGGGCTAGGAGGGGGGCGCAGGGCTGTTCAGGGAGGTTGTTGGGTGGCGGGTCAGGACCTGCGGGTCTTAACGTGGCAGCCGTTGGAGAAGGCTCGGGCGAACATGGAAGGCTTCTGGGTGTTGTGATAGGATGGGGCGACACCCAGACGTGGGTCAGGGGGTGGGGCCTGGAGAGGCCCTGCGGGTGGCCAAGAGTAAAGGGGAGCCCAGGCACCTGAGGAGGGTGCAAAGGAGGATAGAGCGGGGTCCCGGTGCGCCTGTGCTTACAGTGGGTGATGGAACGGGGGGCAGGGAGAAGGACCCTAGAAGCTTTAGAGAAGGCCATAGAGTCCAGGGACGGAGGCTGGGGGATGCACAGGTTGTGGGCAGCGTACACGGAGGATAAAGAACAGAGCTCGTGCGGCCAGCTTCCCTCCTTTACCTAACCTCATCTTTTCTCCCATCCACCAGGCCTCAGCCACCCCTCCGGATGCTGGTGCTGCCCTCCGCAGAGGCCATGGAGGCCCGGCCCTCTCGGACAGGCAGGTCTCCAGAACCCGGACCTTCCTCCTCCACAGGACCTCCCCAGACTTCCTCGTCTCCGAGGCCCAACCACTACCTGCTTATTGACACCCAGGGCATCCCATACACCGTGCTGGTGGACCAGGAGTCTCAGAGAGAGCCTGGGGCAGATGGGGCATCAGCTCAGAAAAAGTGCTACAGCTGCCCTGTGTGCTCCCGGGTCTTCGAGTACATGTCCTACCTGCAGCGGCACAGCATCACCCACTCAGAGGTGAAGCCCTTCGAGTGTGACACCTGTGGGAAGGCATTCAAGCGGGCCAGCCACCTGGCTCGGCACCACTCCATCCACCGGGCTGGCGGTGGGCGACCCCATGGCTGTCCGCTCTGCCCTCGCCGCTTCCGTGAGGCGGGTGAGCTGGCCCAGCACAGCCGGGTCCACTCTGGAGAGCGCCCATTTCAGTGCCCCCACTGCCCACGCCGATTTATGGAGCAGAACACGCTGCAAAAGCATACTCGGTGGAAGCATCCATGAGCCAGGCTGCAGGGTACCCCAGGTACCATGGGGTTCTGGGGGGAGCCTGGACTCCTGTCGCCCTCAGACACCTGGCCAGTGCCAAAGGCTGGGTTGCAGCCCTGGACACAGACACACCTCCTGCAAAGGCCAAGCCCTACCTGAAGGAGGAGCTCATGAGTAGCCTTCGTGTTTTGGAGATAAGATGGAGACAAGACCTTAACATTCACAGAGTGGAGCCCTCCAGCCTCCGGCTGAGCCCTGACTGGAGGTGTGGGGGAGAGTGCTATGGGTGGAAGTTCTCCAGCCTGAAAAATGGGGTTGGGAGCCATCAAGAATCTGCACCAGCTTCCCGAGGCCTCCATGTTGATGCTGGGGGACGGGGCCCCGGACCTGCCTCCCAGCCCCCAGATAGGGCCTGAGACTGGACACCCAATAAACACCTTTCCCATTTTGAGCACTTGAGATTTGTTTTTGGGGACAGCGGCTTGGCCAGCCTGCTGCCCAACAGGGAGATTCAGCAAGTGCCTGGCCCACCTCTTTTTGGGCAGAAGAACAAATCAGCCATTTCTTCTCCCCAGAGAGGGAAAGAGCTTCCCACTGTCTGACCTCAAATAATAGGAACAGCGCCCTGATCTTGAGCTTAGACTATGGCCAGGTGTTGCGCTGAGCACCTTGCATGGGTCATACCAGTGCAAAATTCGTGGCTCGCCTGGCATGGGATGGGAAGGTTGGCCTTCTGCACTGGGGTGCACTGGGGTCAATCCTAGCGTGGCTCCTCACAAGGTGCATCATCTAGGCAGAGTGTTTTTAAACACACTCCACCCCACCCCCCTTTTAAAGACAGGATCTATTGTACGAGAAACATTTTATTTGGCAACCCAGTATACATTACACAAAATATATGTGAAACAAAACTTTAACAATACTGAATCTCTGCCACGTGCAGTCCACTTTTTCTTCCCGCTGCCAATTCTGTTCTATTATATTGAATTCCCTGCCCATGAACCTGTAGTTTGCAAAACACCAATCTAGGGTGGACGTTTTGACCCAGCCTGCAGTTTGTCTGTAATGTGAAGCAGGTAGAGGAGGGTGGACACAGTTTTTTAAGTGGTGCAGACATTTAAATTTTACTTCTGCAAGGTTAAAACCCTACTCTCGCAGGGCTGGCAAAAATCCCAATAGCAACTGGTGACTGGGAGGAGAGGCAGGGAGCTGAGCCGGAAGCTGAATAAACATCTGCCTTCTTAATGAATTTTCCTTGCGCGTTTGTTTTGTGCCAGGCACTGTGCTGGGCCCCATTTCTTCTGACCTCTTTTTGGGTGGAAGAACAAATTAGCCATGTCCACTCCCCAGAGAGGGAAAGAGCCTCCCACTGTCTGACCTCAAATACCACCGCCAGCGCCCTGATCTTGAGCCTAGACTATGGCCAGACGCTGGCCTGAGCGTTTTGCCTGCACCATATCAGTACATCCTCACAAGGAACCTAAAAGGGACCATAACTTCCCCACTTTACAGGTGAGTAAACTGAGGCGGGGTTGGGGGAGAAGGAGCGGCCAAGATTGGGTCTGAAAGCTCCTCCCAAGCTAGCTACCACAGGAGTGGTGCTGGTGTTCCAGGCCCCTATTTTCAGGGAGGGTAACTCTAACCCCTCCACCCTCCCATGGTCCTAGGAACCGTGCGTGCGGTCTGGTTGTGCTGGTGATGCGCATACTGTGGGAGATGAAGGAGCGGGTTGCGGGGGTCCGTGGGGCCAGTTCCTGGGGTACCGTTGAAAAAGATTCTCCCTGTGCTTCAACTTCCCTGGCTGTCTCCTCTCTCCCGGGCCCGACTCGGTGCGTCGCCACCCACCACGGGGACCCCGGAGCCGCCTGCTCTCCAGGAATTGGGAGTTTCTCGACATTCCCTGCCCGGGCTTCGCGGAGGGAGGGGTAGTGCGGTAAGGGGCCGTCGCGCAAGTGCAGCCCGCGCCTCTGCCGCAAACGGCGGGTCTCACCTGGGGCCGGAGGGTCCCGGAGGAGCGGACCAACCGGCGGACCGGGAAGTACCGGCGTCCCTGCCCGCTCCCACCGGCCCGGCACCCCGCCCGAGACTCGCCACCTCTGCCGCCCAGCCCGCCCGAAGCGGGCGGGCGCTTCCCTCCACTCCCCGCGATACTTTGCAGACACTCCCCGGCGCCGGGCATGGGCGCCGCCGCTGTCGGTCCCCTGGCCGGATTCCGCGCGCGGGTGGGTGAGCGCGGGGCTCTGGCCCTTCCGACCCCGGGAACCTGTGGGCGGGGGGTGGTGGCCGCATCTGCACCCGCGGCCTAGTGAGTCTCCCGCTGGGACCCCTGGCCCACATCGCTCCCCCTCCCACCCGGGGGACAAAGGGCGGGGGCGGGGGGGCGCATCCCCACGCGTGACCTTCTCCCCGCACTGCGCACGCGCCCCCTCCACCACGGGGGAGGGGCCCTGCTCGCCCACACGAGTGCGGGGGAGGGGCTGCGCGTGGGCTGGACCCCCACCCTACGCCTGGAAGTTGGGGCACGGTCCCCCCCCCGCACCTCTCCCTTCTTTTGGCCCCGAGGTGACCCGTGATGAGGGTCCGCCCCATCCAGGCCAGGATGTTTCGGCTCTGTCCCCCGCGGGGAACGCGCTCCTCCTCCTCTCAGTAGCTCCGGGTCTGGGCCCCCAGCCCCCTCGTTTCCTAGGCGCCCAGGAGTTTGAAACCCCAGGTGTCCTCCCTCAGATCCAGGAGTCCCGGCCCTCAGCATCATCCCCCCACCCCCAGTACTAAAGAGTTGGGTCCCACCTCTCCTGGGGGGGGGGGTCCCTCCATCTGTGGCTGCCCTTTCTGTCCAGTGCCCCTGAGGCGCTAAGCTACCTGGGTCCGCCGGAGGCCGCGCCATGAATGACCGAAACAGCCGAAGGAGGACACGTGAGGAAGCTGGGACCCTGCCCCACCCTTGGTCCCACCACTGCCCTGCCCATCCCTGCCATTTCCTCCCCAGGGCTGCTGTGGTGGGGGGCTGGTCTGAGGTGCCTGGGGCCTGGCCTGGGGTGACCCCTGGCCTCTCCCCTCCAGTGAAGAAAGACGATGAGGCCTTCGAGATCTCCATCCCCTTCGATGAGACGCCCCACCTAGACCCACAGATCTTTTACAGTCTGAGCCCCTCTCGGGGGAACTTCGAGGGTGAGCTGGGGGGAAGGCTCGGAGGGACCCCAGTCAGCTGGGGTGCAGGGCCCTTGAGGCCTGGGGTGTGACCAAAGCTTCCTGGTGTCCCTAGAGCCTCCGGAGGCCGCATCCCCGACCGTGGCCCTGATGAATGGTGTCAGGGCCCAGCTGCACATGGCTCTGGAGAGAAACTCATGGTTGCAGAAGCGCATCGAGGACCTGGAGGAGGAGAGGGACTTCTTACGGTGTCAGCTAGACAAGTTTATCTCCTCTGCCCGCATAGATGCAGGTGAGGTGCCTGAGGGGCTACTCCCTCGTCTCACTCCTGGGCCCTGACATAGCTCTGGCCCTTCTCCGGGGTACGGGACGCTTCTCACCTACTCTCATCCTTTGGTGGCCCAGTGCGGATCTCTCCCTACTCCTGAGGCCGTCTCCAGGACCCCAAGCTCAGCTTCCTTCCTGATGGGCAGAATCCTGTGGCCATTCCCTGCCAGGGATAGTCAGGGCTTTCCTTTTCCAAATCTTTACACCCGGTTTTGGAGAGTCCAACCTCTGCTTCCCTCCACATGATGTTCAGCCCCGGGCTGGCTCCTCCCCAGGACCCTGTAATCCCCTGTGATTCACCTGACAGCTTGGGCAAGGGGTGTGTTTTTTCAACATCTGTGTTACTGGGGACCCCTCTGCTCTGGAACTGCCTGTGGCCTGGGTTGCTGGGACCTCCCATTGTCTTCCTATGCTGATGGGAACCTACCTAGGATGGTTTGGCCCAGGGTCTTCTGGACTTTCTTAGTGAGAATCCCAACAGTGGACTTCCCCCCGGCCCACCTTCTGTCCAGGTGAAGGCGGGCGCCTGACTTTCCCAGCCCACTAGACCCAGAGCCTGGGATTTCTCTCAGGGTCTGAGTCCCCCACCCCAACCAAGGCCTTGCTTGCTTCCCGGATTTTTAGAGTCTACTCTCCTGGAGGTCCCGCTGAGTCCCCAGAAACTCTCTCCTCCGCTGGGGGAGCCTATAGTCACAGACTCTCTTAGGTGTCTGCTCGTGTCTTGCTCCTCTCAGCCCTTCCCCCCGGATCTCTTGCCATAAAGTTTAGAAGTCAGAAGAGCATGAACCCATGCCCCACCTGTGATCTCTGCCCCCAAATCCAACCAAGTGCAGTGTGTATTCAGCCCTCTTGGTGAGGACTACAACATCTATACTACATTTTCTGTTGGTCTCCTTGGGGGCTCCAGCCCTGGTGGAGGCCCCCCTTTCCTGGGCACCTGTGTGATGTGGTGTCTGTCCCAATCTTACAGCCAGTCTCTCGCCTCCTTCTCCCTCCTGTTCTGGAAGTTCATGTGTACGGGTCTCTCTTTCTCTACGTCTCTCCAGAGGACCACTGCCGGGTGAAGCCTGGGCCCAGGCGGATTGAGGGGGATGGCCGGGGTGGGGCTGGGGGCGAGGCCTCAGACCCTGAGTCAGCGGCCTCCTCGGTCAGCGGAGCGTCTGAAGAAGGCAGTACCATGGAGAGGAAGAGGCAGAAGCAGAAAGGAGGTGCTGGCCGGAGGCGCTTTGGGAAGCCCAAGGCACGGGAGAGGCAGCGGGGTGAGCAAGCCACACGCAGGGGGGGGGGGGCTCAAGGGGTCTGGGCTGGGGTCTTGCTGTGACCTTCGAGGAGGCCCTCCCTTCTCCCCTAGCCTGGTTGTCTGTCCCAGCCTCCATGTGTGGTCTTAGTTTTGCAGTCCACCCTCAGCAGCCTTGCCCTCTGGGGTCTGTCACTGAGCCTCAGGCTCCTCATCAGTAACAAGGGGAGTGGGTGAGGCTCAGCTGGGCTGGGAACTGCCCCCTCCTCCCTGGGCCTGCCTTCTCTGATTTTTCCACTTGTCTCACTCTGTGTCCATGTCTCCCACCACCTCTTGACTCCTCACCCACCTGTCCTCTGGGGTTCCATGTCGTTCTCCTGGCTTTTCTTGTATGGGGCTCCCTGCCTGTCCCTGCCGCATCCCTGCCTCCCGTGTCCATCTCTGTTCTTCGTGTCTCTCTCTCTGCCCCGCCCTGGCCCTGCAGTGAAGGATGCAGACGGCGTCCTCTGCCGCTACAAGAAGATCCTGGGCACCTTCCAGAAGTTGAAGAGCATGTCTCGGGCCTTTGAGCACCACCGAGTAGATCGCAACACGGTGGCGCTGACTACGCCCATCGCGGAGCTGCTCATCGTGGCCCCGGAGAAGCTGGCGGAGGTGGGCGAGTTCGACCCCTCTAAGGAGCGTCTGCTCGAGTACTCGCGCCGCTGCTTCCTGGCCCTGGACGACGAGACCCTCAAGAAGGTGCAGGCCCTCAAGAAGAGCAAGCTGCTGCTTCCCATCACCTACCGCTTCAAGCGGTGATCCTGCCCACCTGGCCCAGGACGCGCCCGTCGGCCCCCACTTCCCCCCCTCCTGTGCCCCTCCTGGCACCGAGCGAGCGTGTGCATGAGTGGTGTGCCCCTCCAGAGGGCCTGGGGTGTTTCTGCGTGTGCCTCTCCGGCTCCTGCAGACCCCCACTCCCACCCCGGGGCCCCTGTATGTAGATCTGGTCCCCTCCTTGCCTCTCACGGCCCTAGCACCCTCCCCTTCCTCCGCATTCCCTGGGGAGGGGCGTCCACATAGCCAGGCTCCCAAGAGCTACCGCCCAGGGGTCGGTTTCTGCCCTTTCCCAAATACTGGCACCCCTCTCACGCGAGCTGCACCGTTCTGCCCTCACCGGCCCTCCCTCCTGGGGACACTGCGAGACTCTCTGCGGGGCCAGGCACTGTACATACCCCGTCTCTACCCCCAGCCCCGAGGACAGGCTGGCCCACTCTGCCAGGAGCTTCGGACGAGAAAAAATTATTCAGAGAATTTAAATTAAAGAGAGACGATAAAATTTGGGATAAACTAGGCCCGGCCTCTTCTTGGAGGGGGTGTCCGTTGCCGCGGAGACAGTGACGGGGGCACCGGGGAGCTCCCCGGCGCGGGCGGTCAGGCCGGGAGCCGGAGCGTGGGGAGACAGGGTGTGATTAGCACCCCCGGCGGCAGGGGCGGGGGGGGAAGCAGTTGTGCCCCAGGGAACTCGGAGGGGCAGAGCTCCGGGAGAGAGGCGTTAACACCGCCCGCGGGGCTCGCTCGACTACAGGCGGGGCGGCAGGAGACGGGACTCGATGACCGCGAGCGGAAGCGACCGCCAAGGGGGGGGGGGGGGACACGTCCGGGCGGAGGCTTCCACGCCCGCCCGCTAGGAGGCGGTGCTGCCGGATTACTGGTCTTCCGGAAGTGCCCTCTACGTCGCCCGCTGTGCCTGCGCTGCGGGAGGGGAGCGAGCGCGCTTACGCGGTTGCTACAGCAACCAGGAGAAGGCGGATGTGCTTAACGGTCCGCAATTCACTACCTTTCCCAGAGTAAGGGAAAGTCTCGCGCACGCGTGCTGGGGCCTCTGGAACGCGCTCGCCTCCCGCACGGTGAGAAACCTCGCCTCAGACCGACCTCTACGCAGGCGCAGAAGCAGATCTCGCCCCCCCTTTCTCTTCCACTCTGCGCAGGCGCACAAAGCCGCGCTGGCAACCTCCGCAGCGGCCGCGCGCACCCTTCACCCCGCTGCCTGCTTTTGTCTCGCGCAACCTTCTTAGGCCCTCCGCGAGATCGGCCCTTTTTTCCCTCCGCTCTCCCCACCCGGAGAGCCAGGTGCAGAGAGCCGGGACCCCGCCCTTTCTCTGTATCCCTTCTCCTGACCAACCTCGTCTCTGGCCTCCCTCCCTCTTCGGTTCCCGAAGCCGGAAGGAGCCGAAGCGCCGACGGAAAGAGCCGAAGCTGTCCCCGTGAGTGAGGCCTTCCCGAAGCGGTGGCGGAAGGAGCCGAAGCTCTCGGGCGGGGGAGGAGTGAGTGCACTGTCCGGAAAGAGCCGAAGCTTGGCATCGGGTTTAATCCTCTGGCCGGTGCCGAGAGCCAGGGCTGGAAACCTTCAGAAAGCGCAGAAGTCCGGGACGGTTAGGATTGTCTGAAGTAGCCGATTGCTTGGCTAGGGCCGGCGGCGAAGAGCGGGCAGAATCTGCGGGAGCAGCCAGAGACTGGGGCGGTTTGAATTGTCGGAAGAAGCCGAACCCTTGGGGGGGGGCTGGGCGTAGAGGAACGCGCGGACCTACGGAAACACCCGAACGTTGAGGAGCGAGTTTCCGAAAAGTTACGATTGCTTGGGAAGCCGGTGAAATTCTCGCTTCGGGTGTTTTCGGAAGCAGCCGAAGCCGCCGCTCCCGATTCCTTCTACGGCCGGGAAATAGCGGACGCTATTTGGAGCTAGGCTCGGGGGGGGAGGGGCGCCTCGCGGGCGGGAGGGCGGGGAGAGGGGCGGAGCCGGGGCGGGGCGGGCGGCCGGGGCTTGATTAGGTAGGAGGCGGCGGAGCGCCGGCGGCGGCCGGAAGTAGCCGAAGCGAGCGGCGGAAGTAGCCGAAGCGGCCGGAGCGGGCGGGCGGCAAGGCGAGGCCAGAGCTGCACAGGGCCCTTACGCGGCCGCCTCAGCATGTCGGACTTCGACGAGTTCGAGCGGCAGCTCAACGAGAATAAGCAAGGTGAGGGCGCCGGGGGCGCGGGGCGGCGGGCGGGGCGGCTCTTGGCCTCCCTCCGTGTCCCCCGCCATTTTCCCCCTCTCTTCCCCCTCCTTTCAGGGCCGCGCGGCGCCCCCCCCACCGCTCCGCGGCGCGCGCCTCGCTCACGTGACCACCCGGCGTGCCGCCGCGCGCGGGAGGGGAGGGGAGGGGGCGGCGGGCGCGGGTCCCGGACGCATGCGCGGCGCGCTCCGTTCTGCGCCCCACGTGGTCCGCGGCGGAGGCGGCGCGGACTCGCGGGATGGCTGGGTGTTCCCTCGCGGACTCCCCACCCCCCCTTTTTTTTTTTTTTAACTGCTTTTTAAATAATCTGAAAGGAGGGTTTTTGTGTATCAGGTCCCGCAATGCTGGTTTTCTTTCCCGCTGTCCCGGCACTTCCGCTTCCGGCCGGGCCCGCGGCCCGGGTCTCCACGCCCCCTTTGTTCCAAAATGGCGGTTGCGAGCCCCCTTCACGTGGGCGCCAGTCGGGGGGGGGGGGCCCCCGGCCCGGGGCAGCGAGCGCGCCGCGGTGTCCCTCGTGGGAGAGGACGCGCGAGTTGTGGCAGCCCGACGCCCGCAGCGTGGAGTGCTGGCTGCTCGTCCGGTCCCGGCGTCGGGGCGCGTAGACGCGGCCTCGGCCCTGCGCGGGCAGGAGGAAGCCGAGGCTCGGGCCGCCGGAAGCGCGTTCGCCCCCGGCTGGGGCCGAGGGCCGTGGGGGCTGCGGCGTGTCGGCAGGAGGACGGGCGGTGGTCGGAGAGCGGCCCCGGCGGGGAGGAGGCCCTCCTCCTGCGTGCCCGTGCGGCCGGCGTTGCTCGGTTCAGACACCTGCCTCGTTGCGTTTGTAGGGGTTCGGCGCCCGTGCCTTCCGTCGGTAGAGGGATTCTTGTTGTGGCACCGCGTTTGTGGGATTGAGGAGGGTCGTGGTGATGGATGAGACTCGGCGTTCGCCGAGTGCTGGGCGCTTCGCTGAGCTCTGCGGTTTTTCTAAGTGGATCCTTGTAGGAGCCATGCGAGGCCGGGATGATTTTCTTGCTTTTGCAGAGGAGGAGGCCGGCTCAGAAAACTTTAATACGTGTCTAGGTTTCAGCTGGTAAGAGGCAGAGCTGAGATCACACAGGGAAACACACGGAGTTTGCGTGGCGTGGGCCTTGGTACGCCCTAAGTGCCTAGTCGATACATCTTTTTTTTTTTTTTTTTTAATTATCCGTAGTGTGGTGCCCACTACGGAGTGGAGAGGCACGTCTTCGTTCAGCTGGTGTTCTCCCACGTCCTCACACACTTGGGATACGTGGGACCTTTGTTTCAGGGGAGGCTTGGCCGTGTTTGCGTGATTGCACACCGTTAGTAAGCAGAAGAGCGGAACGCTCCCTGCGTCTGGCCGGTGCGAGGCCAGGTTCCACCGGGCCAGGCTGCCAGGCCGGTGCGAGGCCAGGTTCCACCGGGCCAGGCTGCCAGGTGGGGCTGACGGAGCTCCTCAAGGCGCTTGCAGAAGAGTTGTCTGGCTCTTCTGACACTGGGAGGCCCGGCCCTCAGCCCTGGCCTGAACTTCTGGGTTGGTGGAGCTGTCCCACAATGCGGCCACAGCATTTTGAGCAACTGAAGTTCCTTTTCTGTTTTTATTTGTCCGGGAATCTGTGTGTGTTGGGAGGCTGGGAGCTCTGTCCACGTGTTGCCGTGCCTGTGTTTTCTCTGGGGGCTGGTCTCTGAGGTTCAGCCTATGGCGAGGGCACGTGTGTCTCCAGAGAATTAGTTTCCTCGTCTGGTGGCAGGCACCCAGCAGGTCTGCTCCTCTGTGTTGGTCCCTCTGCTTGCTTGTCTGTTTCAGAGCCTTAGCCTCAGGGCAGGTTCTTGGCTCACAGCCTGCTCATCTCACAAGTGTGGAGCCAGAGGACCAAAGCTCCAGGCCACAGCTGCTCTCTGTCCAATGCCATGCTTGTCTGTTTGCTTACTACTTCACGGTGCGTCCAGTCCCTGACTTACTTTCTGTTTTTTTTGGTTGGTGGAGTTAATAACATTGTTAACTAGTGGTTCTAGACAGACCCTTAAGTGTTCTGCTTGTCCCAAGTTAAGGAGTGTGCCGAGGTGCCTAGCTGTACTTGCTAACGTTGCAGGGTGCACTTTCAGTCTTCACCATCTTTTTGTTTTTGCCGTGGGCAAGTTACGTGACCTCTTGTGTCTGTTTCTCTCTCTGTTATTGGAGCGGGTAGAAGTGTTTTTTCTGCACAGTAAGGATTGAGGGCAAGTGGGGCTACTGAGTACAGGTGGGTTTTAGGAGCATTCTTGTATCTCCTCTGTTTTTTCCCTTTCTGAGGTGCGTGTTTTTCTGAGTTTTAGTGGTTCTGGAATTGAGATTTATTTACGGAAAGTTCATGGTTAAAGTTCTAGAAGACGTGAGATAAAGTAGAACCCATGAGGCTGAAGTTCACTTTAACACCCTGTCATAATTGCTTCTTCCTGCTTCTGTCCATAGACATGGGGTAGTGGAGGAGTGGGGGGTGTTTTGAACTAAAGACTAAGGAAATGCGCTGTGACATGGTGCTGGTGGTTTGGTCTGCACCTCCTTCCCAGGGCGAGAGGTGTGTTGAGCAGAGGTTTCTGGTTTTACAGGCAAGGCTGTGCTGCGTTCCTGGTCGCCACCCCCAAGGCCATTGAGGGGGTTGAGGGACCCAACTGAGGGCTGGACCCCAGGCACTAGCTTTGAGGGAGTGTGGGCAGGATGGGGTGGTTTGGGATACCAACCTGCGAGGGGTAGTGGGCAGGGCACGCTCCTCCTCTGTCTCCTGAGGCAGGGCCAGGTATCTCCCTCTTTCAGCCCACATTCAGAAAGGGGCGCCTCCCTAGAGGAGGACATCTTGCATTCTTCACCTGGTTGGGCAGGGACTGTTGGGTGTCCTGGCTTCCTGGGGATATCAGATCCCGCCTGGCACCTGACCCTGGGGCCTGATGGTGGGGCTGTGGGTACCAGCTGGTTGAGGAGGTCTTTCCTGAGGGGTCGCCAGTTTCCTTCATTCAGGAAAACATCATTGGGTCTCTTGATTCCCCAGCCTCTAGCCCTGCCCCTCTCAGGGACGACCCTGGGGTCAGGCCCCTCAGCCCTCGAGGGGGACCAGGAGCCAGCCTCCTCTGTCTTCTC